ACCCAACAGTAATTTTCATCAACCAGATACGCAATCAAGATTTAACAACTCATATACACAATTACACTTTGAAAATTCATTAGGAAAAGTCTTGGTGTGTTACTTTTATAAATATCCTGAAATATTAGAAATGTTTGGATATTAGCAATTATAATTTAGGATTTTAAGGTTTTTAATAAAACTATTTCAAATTTATTGAAAGTAAATTAATATATTAAAACCATTTCATTTGACCTGGCTTTAAAACTTATCTTTTTCTGTTAGGATATATAATCATCCTAACTTCCAAAAGAAGTTAACTATTTCTCAATATGTTGTTAAAAAGTTGTGTACTACTAAGTTTAAACTTCAATAAATCCTAATCTGTGTGATAGTTATGCTCAATACAAATAATAATAACAATAATAAATAATAATACATAACTATTAAATTGTAACTTTTTTGTATCATATTTTACTTAAAGTTTTATGGTTCAATTTTTAAATATCTTATATGCCGAAGATAGGAAAAAATTATCACTCCATTTAAAAAAAGCCCCTGTACTTTTTTATGTCATACATTGGACAATATTAATCTTTCAATTGTTAATTCATTTCAAATATTAAGTTTATTTTTATTTTATTAGTTGTGTATAATGTACATATATATTTTTAGATTGGCAGTGTGATAACTCCAAGAAAGATGATTGATATAGAAACAAATGATTTTGCACCCTCTTCTGCATCCTCTACAGACCGAGCTGTAGTTGCCCAAAAAAACTCAAAACAAATTCTTTTAGAAATTGAACATGTTGGTTATATTATATTTTATAAATATTTGTGTACAGTGTTTATCAAATATAAAATTTGTTGCTCTTCAGATGTATATACCACTACTGAAAATAGAACAAACGTACTATGCAATAAGGAACAAAGCACAAGCAGCGCCTACTGTACAACAATACATTGATGAACTAACAGAAATTTTGTCTAACCATTTACATCACTTAGTTTCATATGTGACTATACGTAAAGGAAAAGTAAGCAATTCAAAAGTATTTAAACTAACAACAACTAGTTTATTTTTATAATTATGATTTATGATGATTTATGACTGATATTGAAATGTATGATATGAATTTAATTGTCCTTTTCATTTGATTACTAGCAACTGGTACACAGAATTTTACCACATCTCAAAAATCCTTCATTTTTATGGAGTGTATTTTTTGGCCCTTCAATTTGTACAATAATTTCAAAAGATAATGAAGATCAATTATTGTTACTATTCTTGCCATACATAAGACAATGGATATTTTGCTTATGTCTTGCGGAATTAAATCAAATTGCAGAGTATTTAATGAAAAATCTTGCGTTTGTTTTGATAAGTGTTGTAAGTAGATGCTTATTTTTAGTTCTATTAAATAATAATAATAATAATTTAGATGAGTTGTTTTAAACATTTATAAACATTTGGATTTTGTAATAATATGTACTTATTATTATACCTATTAAAATATGTATTTGCTTTTAGTTTGGCATATCAGTTATAGCAAATATGATTGAACGAGCAGAAGAAGTTCGACCCACAACAGACCGAAAAGTATTGAAACAATGGAGTATTTTCATTAGCAATGTTATATTAGTTGGTTCAGAAAATACAATACAAAGACCAGTCATTGGTTTGGATAAAAAAATTATTGAACAACACCTTACATATTTGCCATTAGACCAATCTGTTACAATTGAAAAAAAATTAAACTTTGTTCAAAGAATAAGTTTCTTGGGTGATACGACAAAGAAATAATCACCATTCATGACATATATGGTTTTACTTTTATGTAGTAACAATGATCACCATTATCACTGCATAAAATTATACCACAATGGATATATTTCTTTGAGAACCTTTGCAAAAATTGTAATCTCATGCACTACATTTTCTAGACATATGTTGGTGTTGTTATTAATGTTGGAAGTTTTTTGATTCAAAACTATCAATTTAATTGTGCATTGTCAAACACTTAAGATTTTGCTAGGTTGACTATACATTTTTCACCATTTTTTTCTTCATATTTACCTTATATTTGATCCCAGCTCATTAATACTTAGTACAATATGAAACAATTTCTTAATATAATTAGGTAATTTCTATGTTGATAATCATTTTTATCAAAATGTAATTTTAATTTTGCATTAAAGTTATTTTTTATTAATATTATAAATACTTATTTTTACATTAATGTGGTTCCAATGATAATATTAATTGAAGGAACAATTTTTTTTTATAATTTCTATTAGTTATTTTCAAAAAAAGTAATTTAATGTAATGTACTAACCAATTTCTTAATTCCTACATTTTTTTAAACTTAATTTATTCTAAACAATGACCCAATATAATTTTTTTTGTATTATCATTATTTAAATTGAATTAACTTATTAATAACTTTTAAGTAATAAAATATGTGTATGAAATATTTACCATTAACTATTAAATAATTCAAGCACTATACATTTTGTAATCTACAGTTGATATGAATCCTATACGTTTGTTGATAAGTTGAAACACTTATGCTAACTAAATGTATAAGTTCATAATCAAGGAAACTAATTTTTGAATGGAATTGAAGTATCTATATAATTATTGTGCAATTTGAAATATAATTGATCCCTATCATTATGTTTAGGTTTTTAACAATTTATTAATTAAATTAATAAATTAATACTATGTTATCACTATATAATATTATTATCTATAATACTAAATTAGGAAATTTGACATAACCGACCATTCATTATTAATCTATTATCATTAAGTCAATATTTACATTTATGTATGAAAAAATACTGCTAACTAGAATAATCGTAGTGTAGAATAAAATATTATATAATATGTAGATCATATACTTAGAAAATCTTTGAAGATAGTTATTTAATTGTGTTGAATTATGGTTTTTTTTAAATTTTAAAAAATCTTAAGATTTTTAACAAACTTATATGATAATAGTATATTTTAAATATTATCGCCATTGATGTATTGTAATATTTATTTAAAATTGAGTGACTTTCTTTATAATATTATATATTATTTTAAAAGTCTCCCTGTATTGTAATTAAATGTTGCTTAGTGAATTTTATTATTTAATTATTTTTTTTGCATGTGTATAGAATATATATACCAAAGTGCTGTATCACATGGATTTATAAATTTTTTTTCTAATAAACCATTGCCCAGTTCTATTGATACACTCTGTGGATGTAATATACAACTATATATATATTATATAAATTATGTGTAATAAATTTTAGTTTATTTATATGTCTATTTGTATAATTATTTTAGAATTTGTTATATGTAAAATTCAAAAAATAAAAATGTATTGTTTTTAACTTCCTAATCATAGTATTGCTTATTTTATTGAATTGGATACATTTTCTTGACAACATTTTGACTAGTGGCAGATGTTAAAATTTGAAAATGCAATAATTATCGAATTTTAAAAACTGTTTTCTACCGAAACAACTGAAGTATACACTAATTTTTTTTTATTAATATAATGTAATATTAAACATTTAGAAAGCTTATAAAATATCAGTTAAACAATGTAAGCAAAACAGAAATACAAAAACAAGTTCTGATTATAGTGTAAATTTAAACATCGACATTTTATACTGTTTCTGTTTGGGATATTATATTCAAAACAATGTGTAAATGTTATAGTTAACAGAAATGTTTGGTATTAAATATCATTGTATGTCACCAATTATTTACAGATAATTTATACAAATCTGATCGGAATAGTTGTAACTTATTCTTATATTATATTATGTTAGAATGTTAGATCATGCATATAAAAATTATGCAATAAAAAAAATAAAATTTTATCAACATATTATATAAGATAAATTATTGAGATGTAAATGAAAGTTATGCTCAAAACTAAACTACTAATAAAATATTGCGTGAGCTCTCAAACATTTTGAGTGTACTTTCAATGGTTTAGGTTCTTACAAAGGTGTAGTTTTTTGTTAGGGGGGGGGGGGGCCGAGGTTATTTTCATGGAATCCAAGAAATGTCGTTTTTTTATACAGGGAGATTTCAAACTTTTTGGCTTTTTACCAACACTTTGTAATTAATGTTCTAAAAAATTTTACTTTGCTAAAAACATTATTTCTTGGAATGATGGTTTTGGAAAATTCACTAATATATTTTAATATCAGGTTTGTATTTTCTTATCAAACACAAGCGGAATTATCTTCATCCGTTACATTATTCCTGTTTTAGTTTGATCAAATTCATTGATTGCAGAAATTAAATTTTTACAACATTATATCAATGCCAATTTTAATTTAGACAGTTGTTTTGGGGGTGGCTAAAACAATATAAGCTGTATAGGCCTGCAGGGACTTTGCTTGCACTCCTTAATCATTTTTAAAGTAATAGTACAACACAACCAAACATTTGTTAGGTATTAACTATAAACTGTACATTACTAATTAACAAACACCAAATACTTTGTATATCAAATACAAACTATACACTTATATAAACTTCATTGGAAAAATAAATAAATGTAGTGTGTACTTTTCAATCAATATTATATACTGTATTCGATTAGGTTAATACAAAATATAACTTAATAAATATAAATTTATAAAAATACAACAGACATAAAGTTTTAAAATAGTGTACAATTGATTATATATTCTGTATATTGATACTAATTATTATACTCTGTTTATATTGTACTTTGTGTGTGGCTTTCTCTACTTGAAAGGTTCCGGTAGTAGATTTGGCAGGAGAAGCATCTCACCACCACGGATGAATTCTGGCTAGCCTGGTTCCCTTAAATTACGTCTATGACTATAATTGATCAAATTATTGAGTATTTAAATAATTATTTCCCTAATTTTTTTTAATGCAATTATATAAGGTTAAAGAGTGAACTAAAAATGATTTTTTGAAGTGTTGTTAAAAGTAGTGTCTCTTGTGCCATAGATTTTTTACCCTTGTTTTAGTTATTTTTATGTCATGTATCGGATCAGATTTTCCCCAAGCCACTCTAATTGAACCTATGATAAGCATTCAGTCTTTATTTGTTATAAAATTCAATTTTATATTTGATTGATAATAATTAAAATTACTTATATAAAATTAAAACAAAACAAAATTAAAATCAATACACATTACAAAAATTCAACTTTTGATTCTTTGTTTCCATATGATAGGTGTATTTCCAAACCAATGAGAGGACTAATAGTACTTAACCATGCTATCAGGGGATTGAACCTGAATAAATAAATATTTATACATTGTATTAATAGTGAATTACAGTCATAGATTACTGATTAATGAATATAGTATAAAACATAGATTTTATATAGAAATGTAACTTGCATTCCTAAATGAAAATGTATATTTAATAATCATTACTTCATTTAAAAATCTTCAACTTACTTATTATTATTTTTTGAAGAAAAACCTAACATTTCCAAAACATGAGTATTCTTACAAGGGTGTAATCTGAAAAATGGTGTATTAAAAAATGGATGCATCTAAAACAGTAATAATTTGATTATTGCACAAGTTTTAATGTCAAGTGAATTTATAATTAGAAAAAAGTTAAAACCTCTTGAGTTATAGCATTCCACTTATCATTGACTACATTTTGTTTCAAAAAAGAGTGAACCAGAGACCATACATGTTCTAATGAAAGCAACTTTCCATCTAAATATGAAATTTAATAATTTATTTCTGATTTTAATTTTGTAAATATTTAATAAATTACCAGTATACCACATATTAAAGTACACATCTGGGCATGAATAACTTAGATTGTACAATATGTGATACTCACAAACAATTGGAATATTGTCTTCTGTATGAGAATCTAAAAATAAAATTCTTTAATTAAATCTCAAATTAAAATATCTTTTGATTAATTATTCTAATATTTTCAATTTTATTCAGAGATGGCTACATTATAAAAATGGCAAATAAAATTATCTAAGGTGTATGAAAAATTCTTTTCACATAAATATGCTTTAATAGTAGTGACTTGTGATAATATACATATAAAAGTCAGCTATATTTTATTTAAAAAAGGGTAATATTGCATATTGACATAGAAATACAAATTTGGTTAGAACTAGAGGTTTTTCCAAAAACATGTATATACATTATACTTATAAGTTATTATCAATAAAAACATGAATAACATGTTAAAGAAACATGTATTCAGTTACAATTAAATTAAACATTATAATGTGTAACAAATATTAGTTAAACAATTATAACAAAATATTTTCAGAAATGGGGTAGGGTAGAAATCAAATTAAAATTTTAATTATACTTTGTATAATATGTCATATTATAATACTAATGAAATTTAAATAAATGTTTCTTTAGTAATATTATCAATGGACATGGTTCATGGTTGACCACGCCTATGCACTTGTCAATACCTGCCGTAATAAATTATGATGATATTATTGTTGCCGTTGTTGGTATGATCCGCTAGGAGAGTGATGTGCTGTTCACCTTATTTTTTAAGCCACTGCTTACCACCCATTATGGAATACAGATTGACATTTGAGTATTAGACCATTCAAATTTTAAATTGTTAGCATTCAAAATTCGAATAATTTTTTTATTTAATACAATAAGTTGTTTGTTAAATTTATTTGTTTTGTGTCAAAAAAGCCAGGACATCGCTGTATTACCCATAGTTTTAGTTACGGTTATGATTCTTGCAAAGATAAATATCATTTTTTCATAGTTTCTAAGAATGATATTGAATTACAACAATGGACAAAAGCAATTCTGAAGAAAAACTTTTTAATTAAACCTCGTCAGGTGGTCTGTGAACGAAATTTTCACGAAGAAGATATAATAAGGGAACGAATAATGGCTAACAAAATTGAAAGAATTTTAGCTGAGGTAGGTTTTCTAAGCGTATTAAGTTTAAGTATGCACCTATAGTTGATTATTTTATGATCAATTATTGTTCTTCTACCATTGTACCTATATATTGGCTAATTTAATATTTACTTATGTGCACCATCTAATTAAAACATTTAAAAATTCAATTTTATAAAGAAAAAATATGAAATGAATAGCAATTGTATTTTCTTGCTATTCTAAAACCAAACATATTTACATCATTGTGACTGTTACTCTTAGGCACCTAGTAGTACTTTTAATAATTAATAAATAAATACATTATTTTAGAAATTAATAATTACCACTTTTAATTTTTCAACAGGTTGCAAGTAAAATTTCAAAGTTGAAAGAAGGAGCTATACTATCAATATTTCCGAACTGTCCAAAATACCTATCTAACTCTTTAGAACTAAAAAAATCACTGTTAATAAGAAGCTAACCTACATAATATTTTATATATAATTATTTATAAATTACAATTATATTTTTAATTCAGTTAATAATAATATTTTATTCTACTACAGTAGAACTTCGATTAACCGTCACTGTCGGGACCGGGGCTATGACGGTTAACGGAAATTTTGCAAAAAAAAACGTGTGCATACATATATGTACACACATTTATAACATATAAATTAATTATTATAACACATATAAATTATAAACATACATACCACACATATTATAAAAAAATCTGTAATTTTAGTTTGGTTTTTTGATTCTCTAGCTTTTTTAGCAGCAATATTACGTATTTGACGTAGAAGTAAGACTTGCGTAGCATTTGACAATCGTCTAATCGCCTAATTATTTATTTTTTTCGGCGATGACCGATGACGGATAACAGAGAGTGACGGTTAATCGAAGTTCTACTGTATCTATAAAATATATGATAACTAAGATATTTTTTATATTTTCCTATTAACACTGGTTAATAATTACCTATCAATCGATACTGTTTACAAACAGAATTTATGTATATGAAAAAATTAATTCTTAGTACATTTATAGTAATTTATAATTTATATTTCACTCAATTTTAATATTATGAGTACATGATAACATCTATAATCATGGATACATTATGGGCAAACACATACGTAGCACTCTTAGCGGATTTTTAATGAGCTGGCGACAATAAGCGAATCCTACCAGTCCAGCCAGTCCTTAACAGTATATACTTTATACACGTTCATGGTTACAACTTACGTGTAATTGTCGATAAACTAACCTGAGTGGTCAAATTTCAATGAAGACGTATTCTTTTTTTGTATCTCTTTTTTGATAAGATAATTGTCAAAACTTCCATTCTATAAACAAAATATTAGATACTTATTGATGTAGTAGTAAGTGTTTTACAACATATGATTAAATCATGTGTAAAAAAAAAGTTCAATCAGCTCCTTTTACCATTGGACATTGATATTGACGAATATTCCAACCGTCATCTATTGAGTCTGAATGATTTTTTAAATCTGTAGCATACTCAACAAATTGTTGATACGTCATGCTCATGATTTGTGTACCTAAACAATAACAATATAAGTTGAACACGCCAATTCAATAATTTTGGTAAGAACTGTGATGAAAATGCACTGTGATATAAATCATAGTATTACCTAGTTCGGATTCGATAACTCAGGTCAGACGAGCTCGTTCAATAACTGTCGAGATAACGAACTAGGATCTGTCGTCGTCAAGTTTTACAACGTAACCGCATTGTGATGTATTGACGTATTGTGTATGTATGTATGATGAAATCTAATCCAAAGAATCATGATCTACGATGAATTCAACAACAAATATTGCCTCAATATTTGAAAAATCAAAACCTCGGCGGCACGGACCGTCATTATCACTATTTATCAGTCGACGACTTATTATCACGCAGTACTAGAATGATACCACAGATAACACATTTTATTATCTATAATACATTATCTGTGGATGATACGCTGAACGCCCGAAACACACTCGACGCTCGACAGATAATCGTGGCAGATAACGACCGTGCACGTCACCGCTGTTGACTGAAAGTCAGAGAGCACTGAAGGCTGAACACGTCCGCCAGCATTGTGGCCAGCAATACGTCTGTGGCCATTGCTGGTGGTTAAACGCTATATCGTCCTGACCCTCCGTTTCCTGTTCCGCCACGACGCCGCGGCGCATGCCAATGCTCCATAACCGTTTTTGCTTTTCGTTATTGTCATTAATGTCGTTTTTCGGGGTGCCGTGGGCCGTGGCCCGTGGTTGTTGTGACCGTCGTCCGTATTGTCATGGCCGTCGTTGTTTTTCTGTCCGTCGGATTGTCGGTTACCCCACAAATTATATTAACTTAACAGGAGCCCATGCACTTCATAACGGCGGCGGAAAAAACCGGGAATTGCTGGCCACGGCGGCGGTACGCGCTCCGTTCGAATGTTACGGCGGCGCTCATCACTGCCGAATAGGACCCTGGTACCAAATACAACTTTTTGAAGACTGAATTCATTCACAAAACGATATTTCTTATCAAGGACATATTGAGTAGTATTATCACATCGATGTGTTATCATCTAAATAAAAAAAATACATTATCCTAATATTTGTTATTATTATCGTTTATTATCACTCGTTTCTTACATTATTTTATAATATATTATTTCATACATAGTCATAAGGCATAACTTACAGCGAATATTATGAAAGAAATGAACGTATTACATGGCGCTACGTCGATTGTTAGTGTGTCTCAGTTTTAGCATCACAAATTAAATTAAATCACTTTGTAATGAGTTTTAGTTTTATGCATTGGTGTAGGTACCTCCCTTTGTGAAATAATTCGACCTAGATGGGCTGAGATCCACTTGTGACGGATTGAATATTATAGGATTCATATGTTTTCGAACGTGGTTTGAACTACCCCGTAAACTAGTAAAGTCTCTAAGAACCATCTCGAACGACTAATACTTTCATCGAAATTGCTCGAGCCGTTTTTGAGTATATAACAATCGGACATTGCATTTTGTTGTACATTTGATGATTTGAATTTTGAGTAACAAATAAATACTTGTTTATTTATTTAAAAAACAAAACTCTTAAAGCAATGCATAGGGCTCGTTTCAACTAGTTTTTGTTTTTTAATTTTATTTATGTCACTAATGGCACCAATTACCCAATACATAATAACAAAAGAAAATTTTTCACTTTTGGAGAGCAATAACGAAATTCATACTTGAGTCTCCGTGAATTCAAAAATTCCATGTTACGACCATGCCTATATATATAAATAGTATCTATATTCTGTAGGTGTGGTAGTTTGGTACTGTAACATTTTATCAAACACCTACTATAAATTATAGTGGCTTATTATTTAAAACAAAATCATTCCTCAATGAATGTATCGATAATTTTATTGCATTAGGAATTATTTATTATTGAAGTTATGTAATTATATCTATGAGGATTTTGGCATTAGAGTTAATTGATCAGTTATCACCGTGGCTCATAACTTATTGATCAAAAAAAGGTTGTTATAAGCACAATTATATGCTAATAAAAACATTTACATAAGTGTTTAAATATGCAGTAAAAGAATTTTTTTTTTTAATTCAAATATTATAAATAGGTGATATAGTTCTTTTAAATTCATTGATGTTCATGAATAAGTAATAACTTATGACATAAGCATAGGCGCAAATAGCGTTTGAGATTTTTTTTAGATGGAATTATAGATAAACTTGGTCATTCTGCATTCACCTCAAACTCTTTATAAATTAAAATAGTACTAGTTTGTACTGGTAAAATGAATAAATATTAAATAGTACAGTATTACAGTTTGTCAGCTTATGGTAGTTAATAGGATAGAACTAGACAAATGATTATTATAAATACCTCTCGATTCTCGAAATAGATGTAAAATAATATTATACACATTGTACCAGTGCTAAAAACTCTTTTATATGAATTATTAAAAATAAATCTAACTTCTTTAAATTTATAAAAGAATATATGGAAAATGTTGTTAATGTAATTTATATGTTTATCTAATTTTAGCCTGTAATACAAAATTACACCAAGGTATATTATTTTCTTAACATTTTCTAGTTAAATACAATTTAGTTTTTAGACAACATTATGGTTTTTAAATTTGTTTTTTTGTGAGTTTTTTTGTAGTTTTTGGTTTTTTTTTTGCATTACTTGTTGCTCATGACCTCATGTCCATCAATTAGAAATTAGAATGCCCTTAGAAGGGGCTGTTTTCACCAATAAGCTATAAGCCCATGAGGTCTTTTGACGTTTGGCTGCCTGGTTTATGCTGTTTGGCTTTGTGTTGTTTATATGCTGAAAATACCTCTATAGGCATGGCTGCTGCAAATTCTGAAGAATTCAACACTACTAGATACAGGGGGAACCACGAGAAGGTACAACACACACCTTTGAGTTTGTTCAGAAAGTAATATGGCTGTATCATCTGCAGAAATTATTAAATCAGTATTTGTATTTATTTTTATTAGTAGGCAATCATTAATATACCTAATATGTATAATTTTTTAAGTAATATTTCATGATTTACACAATTAAAATAAAGACTTCATGCATGTCTAGCAAAATACCCATTGGTTTAAAATTTTTATCATTTCTTTTTAGGACTAAGTTGTCAACTTGAAAAGTGCACAGGTACTCAATAGACAATCCTTTTCTTAAATCAAATTAATTTTAAAGGTTATAGATTATGGATATAAAACATGATCAAAGACTTATGAAAGCTATATAAAACATCTTATCATGAAAGAGTTTGCCCAAAAACTATTATAAGTCGGTTCAATTAATTTCGTGACTATTATTTATGTATGTACTATACACTGCAATTATAAGCTAGTAAATTACATTGTTGAAATGAATTTAAAAAAAGTAGATATAAGGATATAATTGTTACAGCTGTTACTAAAAAACCCTTAACGTTCCATCTCTGCACCCACGTTCCACACAGCATTAAGATCACCTCTAACAAAGAAGTAAACTATATTACACTTTAAGTCAAGTAACAGACTAGAGAATACTTACCTACTACCTACCTATTTTAACACCCAAGTCCCAAATAAAATACCTTCTTATTAATTGATATTCCCTCTCACAAATACTTTTTAATTTTCTTTAACTTAATACAATGATTAAGAAGAATAAAAGAAAATATTTAACGATATCAGGTGATTAATAATGACTAATTTGAAATGAAAAGAAAAGTTAGCTTTTTATTTTTATGTTTTTTTATTTTGTTTTTAAAGATAAAGTAACCTATCTAGTTAAGATAGTTTGCGTAAAGTTCTTTCTATACATTGTGTATATACAATGAGTCAAAAAGTAGAAAAAGACTTTTAGTTTAAAATTTAAACATCTAATTAATAGAATGAAGTATAAAAGCAACTATACTAGCGATTCAATTGGATTTTTATAACATTCATCATAGCAAAAGAAATATCAGCTGTTAAAAGGGTGAAGCTTGGTTTAAAAACATTACCAATATATATTGTAGCCCAGAATCTGCATAGAAAAAAGATAGAGTGAAATGTTATGTATAATGTATATGGAATAACCGTGGAGGCTGTTTGCCAATTGTTTACAAAAACCAATTACTAATACAACTAGCTTAGGTAGGTACCTATAAACCTTGGTAGTAAAACTAGTTAGGACTTGGAACCTTTTTAAAATAAAAAGTATATCAATCCTGAAAATGACGTGGTTAAGGACATCATTTACTTGTTATACTTATCATTGAAACACTAAAAACAGTTTTAACCCTTTCAGGTCCATTGTATGTTTTTGTTTTTGATTTATACATAATCATTTTTGCAACAATTGGTATAATTTAAAGAGTTTGATCATTGTTAAGTAGGTAGGTAATATGAAAATTTAATAATACGGGGCGCCAAATATTGATTACCTAATGATTATATTGAAAAATCAAGTAGGTACCCACCTATCTAGTATCTAGACATATAATCTGTAATCTTTCTTATTGCTGAGAATGATCTTTCACATGTTGCAGAGCTAATTGGAATTGTTAAAAATAATGATAACAGTTTATATAAATTAGGATAAAGTTCTGCATCTTGCACCTTGAGCGGGCTTGTTTCATGTTTCCAGATTTAAACTTTAGAAACAATTTTTTTCAAACAACATTTACTGTTTTATGTAGATTAGATAATTAATGAAGGATATAATACTTCCGTTAAAATATAAATTTTTGGAGGGGCTAAGCCCCTCCAAGTACCCCCCAAATTGTGCCTTTGAATAACGGCGTCATCGAATGTGATTCTAGACAATCTCACAAGTGTATCAAATCTTAAAAGAATTATTCAGCGAACTAGGCAACGTAATCAACGCTCTCCGTCTAATCTATTAACTTTAAAAGATTTAGGAGAAATACCAAACATATGTGTACACAAAGAAACAATGGAAGTAAGTTTTTGTCGTTTGATAATTAAGAAATTAATGGTCCTACAAAAAATAGAATTTTAATATTTTGTACAAGTGAAGGATTAAAGTTAATGTCTGAATCTGAATATTGCTTCGCCGACGGTACATTTAAGAGCGTTCCTTTTATATTTACACAAATATGCACAATTCACGTATTGAAATATAATACTGTAATACCAGTAGTTTTTGCACTATTACCTGATAAAAGTACTGCAACATATTCTTATTTAATCAAAATACTAAAATCGCATACACCATTAAATCCTAAAACTATTATGACTGACTTCGAACAAAGTGCGATATTTGCATTTAAGGAAAATTGTCGCAATATAATTTCTCGTGGTTGGCACTTTCACTTAAGTCAATGTGTATTGCGAAAAGAAAAATACAATCGATACCCACAATATACGAAAAATATCTAACTGATGCAGAGTTATGTATTAAAATACGATTGTTACCAGCACTTGCTTATGTACCTGACGTAATAGCAAGTTTCGAGCACTTATGTGAAACTGATTATTACATAGAACACGAAGAACTTTTTTGACCACTAGTAGACTACTTTGAAGATACTTGGCTTGGAAAGACTGCGCAGACGACGTAGAGGTCCAACATTTCCTTTGCAAATGTGGAATTGTTATGATTCGATAGATTTGTCAAAGACTAATAATTCTGTCGAAGGTAATTAATTTTTATAAATAAATATATATCTAAAATAGTAAAATATATTAAGTATATATAATAGATTTTTACATATTATATAGATTGGAATCGTGGTTTTAATCATTTACTTGGATCGTATCACCCAACACTTTGGAAACTCATAGAAGGGTTCAAACAAGAACAGACTAATACAGAAATGAAAGTAGAGAAATACATAAGCGAAAAAAACCCAATAAAAAAAAAGAAAAATATCTAGACACACTATTAAGAATTTTAGAAATTCAAAAACAATATACAGAAAGAAATATTGAAAATTATTTGAAAGGCATAGCCTATAATTTATGACTACAAGTATAAATTATAAATATAATATAATATCTTTTAT